CTTTCCCTTTATCCGAATCAATTTCTTCCCCCCTTAAACCCAAACCCAACAAAGATTTTCTTTTTTCTCTATTCCGTCAACTACGCCTAAGTAACACTCTCTTTATCTCAATAAATATTTTACCCTCCTTAACCTAAAACTAATCAAACTTTACATTATATTATATGCTTTCATTTAATCACAAATAAATGCAATCAAATTTCACTCCATATTTTTATATGATACTTTCAATTTAAATTTTATAAATTAAAAGGGAAATTAAAAAAAAAAAACACAACACCAATAATATAATTATAAAATTATAAAACAAAAAAAATTTATATTAAGTTTATTAACTTTTATAGACTCTCAAAATGTATGATATTTTTTTATTCTTTAAATTTAAATTTATTTTTTAATTCTATAATTTTTAAAAAATTTATTTTAATCTTTCAAGTCATTAATAACATATTTGAAAATAACAAATTAAAACAGTTATATAAATTCAACTAATTTTAATGTTATGTTTTTTACTAATAAAAATACTAGTAGGTAGATTTTATATGACAATATTTTTTTTTTGGTTCGTCCCTGACCGTCGATAGCAGTGACTAATTTCCTCGCTTCGATAGCTGGTCCCAAGATTTAACGCGACTGCATACACAAGATAGGGTTCAAACCTTTGACCTTGCTTAAGCGTAGATCAACCCCTACCGCTGAACCACACGTTTGGGGTTTTATATAACAATATTTAATAAAGTTTCAAAAAAAATTAAATATAAATACTTAAATAAAAAATTTAAAATTATAATTTAAAAATATCAATTTAGTCGTTTGAAGAAGTTCACAATATGGCTAATTTTGTACATCAATTTATATTCGCATGAATGAATGACTAATGACTAGAGCTGTCAAAACGGGCCAGCCCGGCCCGTTTGGCCCGGCCCACCTCAATCCACTTTTTAAGTAGGCCAACCCGGCCCGGCCCACCAAATATATTATGCAAATTTTTCTAGCCAGGCCCGGCCCACCACGGGTTGGTGGGCTAAACGGGCCGCCCACCAACCCACCTGATTTTAAAAAAAATTATAATTTAAAATAAATTTCAATATAAAATAATATTTAATCTAAAGTAAAAATTATTAAACTAAGTATCATGAATACAACATTAAAATTAAATTAATAAGTGTGCAACTTTAAAAAATTAAAACAAAAAATAAAAAATCTTTCATGAGAGTGATTATTCATCAATATTAAATTTTATTAGAGGTTTGGATAGATAAATTTATAGTAATATCATATTGTTTAACATTGATTTTATCTTTATCTATAAAAAAAATGATATCTTATTAAAATAATGCATATATAATAATAAATAGTTAAGTGAGTTGTTAGTGGATTGTTAGTGGGTTTAGGGGATGAGTTGGTAAGTGGGTTAGGTGGGCCGCTCGGCCCACCACGGGTTCAACCCGGGGTGGGCCGGGTCGAAAGTGGGTCTGGTCACATTTTTTGACCCATCATAAATTTTTTCATTTTTTGACCCGGCCCGGCCCGTTTTCAAGGTGGGCCGGGTTGACCCACGGGCTGGAGCCCACTTTGACAGCTCTACTAATGACCCACTTTCCTCCTTAGAAAATATATGTTAAATTTATTGGCTTTTTAATTGTGTTTACAAATTAAATTAAATTAATACATTTTAATTTGTGTTGTCTCATGTATGTGATATTGATGATTTATTAAAGTATGTACATATTATTTTGCTCACGTTATCCTTAATTGATATTAATGTATTACTCTCACCAATACGGTGTGATATAGACAAATAATTATGTTTTTATCTTTTCACACAAACAAATAATTTTGTTTCTTAAAAATGTGTTTCACAATTTCATTCCATGATTTTTAATTTTGTATATATATAAAATATTTATTAAGATATATCATATCCTAAACAAAATATATTATATTAAATAATTTTGATTGTGGTAACTCGTAACAGGTTGTGTAAATGTTAATTTTGTATTTTTCAAAGTAATTAAAAAACAAATATTTTATCTATATTTTAAAATTTAAAAGAGGAACACGTAATAGCTCTCTCTTTTTCCTATTAATATATAAAAACTAATACTTTAATTATATATTTATTTTTTGGTATAATATCCTTTTTTTTTAATTTAATTTTCAAAATCTCTCTCCTCTCTTTCTCTCAATAAAATAAAATTTCTAACCTTTTTTCTCTTTTTTCTCTCTCTTCCCTTTGAACCAAACATACCATTTATCTAATTATGATCTCTCATTTTTATCTTCTTTTAATAACGATTCCTTCTTCATTAAATCTAAAGAAAAATTCTAACCTTTCATATGAACTTTAGCACTTCTATAATGTATATTTGTTTCTCTAATAACGTAAGTTTTATCTTCAAACAACATTTTGTAATCTTTCTCTAAACTAAAGCATACAATAGATATCAACATCATAACTATATATAAAATCTAGATACTCAAAAGACAAAAATAACCCGGTGCTACCTTGCAGAATTCGGACCTAGCCTTTACCTATATAATTATTAAGATAAACTTGTTTACTCCAACCAAAAGATTAATTATTTAACTTTTCATGCATGTTCTTACGTACACGTCATTTTGCTGAAGATCAACAAACCAAGAGACAATAACCGGAATGATGTGGATGAATAAAACAATGAAAAATGACATAGAAATCATCGAGGACAAGTATAGGTGCATTCAAGGTGTCTGTATGTATTCCTGACCAGTCATAGACTTCAAAAATAAAATTTATGTTCCTTAAATTTAATTATATTTTATCCTTTCTAATTAAGTAATTACAGTAAACTACCATTAATTCACATGCTATTTTTAATATCATTTAATTTTGGATATTCTTTTGTCATTTTTTTACACCAATTCTTTTGTTATGTTAAAAATTAAATATTAAATAATTTTGTTTAATTGATTTGATATTTACAGTAATTTCATTACATCTTCGCTAAACTATTTTTTAATCTTTGAATAAAGTTTCCTGACACAAGGACTAAATTTAGGGCTATTGCTCCGGTGCCTCTTATTTGAAGGGGTTTTGGTGCCCCTCAGTACAAAAGTTGGGTTTTTAGGGACAATAAGGTAAATTGATAGCCTTTGGTCAATTTATCAATTTATTTTATTGCCCCTAAAAACCCAACTTTTGTACTGAGGGGCACCAAAACCCCTTCAAATAAGAGGGCACCGGAATAAATTTAGGTGTTAATTAATAATCTAGATAGGAATAAAAAATATCTAGATAAGGACATAATTTGACTTGCCAATTTAATAAGTCATGTTGATACTTAATGACGAAGGAACCAATTTCATATATATGCTTAAGGCAAGATAACATTCTTCGTCAATCAGAGAACTTCAAATTACATCATCTCTCCCAGTTTTGGATTTGTTTAGTGGAAGCTTCAAAATCATTTCAAACGATCTTGGTATCTTCGAGGTTTCCACAAATCATAATGTCATCTGAGAAGAACAGAAAATTGGAGAAACATAAAGAATGCAAAGTTTCTTCTTCTCTCTTAGATTTGCCTGAGTGGATCTTGGATTGCATCCTTGAGTGCCTTTCACCACTGGACTTGTGCAGAGTGGCACAAGTGTGTACCAGTTTGAGGCTTAGAAGCAGAAGTGATGCTTTGTGGGAGAAACAAATCCATAAGAAATGGGGTCATATTCTTAGTGATGTTGCTCACCAAGAGTGGCAGTGGCACACAACGAAGATAATAAACACACAAAGCCTCTTGTTACAGCAGAATCAGAGTGGTTCATGTGGCACTTTCACTGGTGTTTGGCCTTTCTTACACTTTCATTCTTATTTGAAAAATTTCGTTGACTTGATTAGTTTTTTTAGAAGTTGTTCAAAAATGGCTTTGTATATATGTCTTGAAAGTGGCCGCTTTTGGTTTCTAGTTCAAGTTTGTAAGGTAACACTAATTAATGATTAATTGCTACTGTGTCTATCTATCTATACATTTCTAACTTTGGTACCTCGCATTAACTGTTGGTTATATCATGATTTACTTTGGTTGTAGATTTCAAACCCCTTCAAATAAGAGGGCACCGGAATAAATTTAGGTGTTAATTAATAATCTAGATAGGAATAAAAAATATCTAGATAAGGACATAATTTGACTTGCCAATTTAATAAGTCATGTTGATACTTAATGACGAAGGAACCAATTTCATATATATGCTTAAGGCAAGATAACATTCTTCGTCAATCAGAGAACTTCAAATTACATCATCTCTCCCAGTTTTGGATTTGTTTAGTGGAAGCTTCAAAATCATTTCAAACGATCTTGGTATCTTCGAGGTTTCCACAAATCATAATGTCATCTGAGAAGAACAGAAAATTGGAGAAACATAAAGAATGCAAAGTTTCTTCTTCTCTCTTAGATTTGCCTGAGTGGATCTTGGATTGCATCCTTGAGTGCCTTTCACCACTGGACTTGTGCAGAGTGGCACAAGTGTGTACCAGTTTGAGGCTTAGAAGCAGAAGTGATGCTTTGTGGGAGAAACAAATCCATAAGAAATGGGGTCATATTCTTAGTGATGTTGCTCACCAAGAGTGGCAGTGGCACACAACGAAGATAATAAACACACAAAGCCTCTTGTTACAGCAGAATCAGAGTGGTTCATGTGGCACTTTCACTGGTGTTTG